ACTTTGAGACAACTGTTCCCATCACACCTACAGTCGTAGCAGAGCAAGATGAAGCACAGGGCTCATCTCACTTTCTCCTTTCTATTCACCCATGGGATGGTGATGCCACACTCAGTGTGAGTCCTCGCTCTTCAGTTAAACCTTCTCAGAAACACTCTCATAGACATACCCAGAATTCTGTTTTCATGGTGATCCTAAATGCCAACAAATTGATAATGAAGATTAACCATCACATCCCATAATCCAGTTTCTATACTTTCAAAGCTATTAACAGAAAGCAGGTTCTATTTTTATTTCTGTATGTTTTTGGGTGGTTTTTTTTTTTTTTTTTGGTTTTTTTGATCTGAGGATTGAATCTAGGACCTTACATATACTAACTAAACTCCTAGCAAATACATCTTTTACTGTAGGTGTTTTAGATTAGGTATTGACTCAAGTTGAAAAACAAGCCAACAACTTCTGTCTTGGCTATAAAGGGTAATTGAAGTGGAACTTGACCTTCTGGCATAAACAACTAGAAAACTGGACACAGACATGAAGCAACTGTATTTAGATAGGGAGCCTATGGTTGGTGCCAAGTGTGAGCTCTGAGATGAAACAACTAAAATGAGTCCTGTTAACCACCCCAGCTTTTGCCTGGAGGCAGTGTTTGAACATAGGAGCACATACAGAACCCAAAGAGTCAAAGAGACGAAGATCAGAGGGCCTCCAGGCAACCTGCAATTTGTAGGGCAGAGTGCCGAAGAGGAAGATACTATATAAAGATCTCCAGAAATCTGCACGCTGGTTCCCTTGAGGCTTTGCATGAATATCAATCTGAATGTGTGTGGGAAGAAACTCTCCAAGCATGGCAAAGAATAGTTGATAGGAATCCAGGACTGGGAATTTGGAGTTCTTATTATGCAGAGTAGAAAGCACTCAGGGTAATAAGACCTTACAAGGGTCATGCCTTAGTAGAAAGGCTCAATTAACCCTCAACTCTTATAAAAACTTTAGGTTAGGGACGTAGCTTAGCCAGCATATAAGCATCCTGGGACCGAGATGCTGTTCCCCCAGCACGGGATCTGACACCCTCTTCTAACTTCTGTGGGCATTGCATGACACAGGTGCACTTACATTCATGCAGGTAATACACAGACACACAGACACACAGACACACAGACACACAGACACACAGACACACAGACACACACACACACACACACTACACGACTCTCAAAAGGATCAACCTGTTCTGAAAATAATTCTACAACAAAAGAAACTTCAACACCCTTTGAAGGAAGACAGTAAAATCCAACCACTCTGTAACATAAGACTTATAACATCAGGAATTTAAAATAGCATCAGAACCATGAACTCTTCAGGGATGAACCCAATGTGTGTTAGAACTGGTTCAGAAACAGCTGATTCCAAAGTCACTTTGGAACTCTTAGTGACATCATGTTAATGGCTTGAAATTAACCAAGGTGTGAGTATTTACACCACAGAAATTGGCAAACAGTGCAAATTAGACCTCAACAGCTTGGTTCAACAGCACACCACTGGAAACGTTTAACTAAGTTTGAACTGAACTCTACAAGAAAACATTGCCGAGACGAGTCACAGAAGACCTAAGTAACCATGGAGTGTGTTCGTGAATTAGAGGACTTGGCCTTAAGAAATAAATTCTCAGCCATAGGTAATCAATGGCTGCTGTGAGAAGAAGAGTCTGTGTCCTTCAGGTTCAAGTTCCCTGATAGGTTATCCAATCCCAAGTGATTGGCCCTAAACAAGAGTTCATACAAACATCACTAAATGAACTCAGTAGGTTATATATGTGTGTGTGTGTGTGTGTATACCTCAATATAATTAAAGAAGTCATCATGAATTTGAGAGGAAGTGTGTGACAGGGGATGTGGGAGTAGTTGGAACAGGGAGAGGGGAGCATGGCGATAAAGCAAATATAGCACTTATGTATGAAATTCTCAAAACAACAAAAAATTAGGGTGACAAAATTGTAAATTCTCCCCAAATTACCCTACAAATTCAATAGAATCCTAGGTCACTGTCAGAATCCCAACAGACAGGCTGGTACCAAAATTCATGAGAGAATATGAAGCCCTAGGCAATCCAAAAAGTCAATGCAAAGGAAACGAGTTGGATTTTATTGTCTACTAAAAATTTATATTAAGAAAATGTGATATTGGGGACAGAAGAGATGGTTCAGCAGTTAAGAGCACTGACTGCTTTTGCAGATTACCTGGGCTTGGTTCCTAGCAACTAACAATAGTAGTTAACATCTGTTCCAGGGGATCTGATGTCCTTTTCTGGCCTCTGTGGGCATTGCATGCATGTGTTGCTCTTACATACATGCTGGCAAAACATTCATGCATATAAAATAAAAACAAAATTTTAAAAAGCAATGTGATCTTATTTATGATAAAGTTTACAGATCAATGGAGCAGGGAGTCTAGAGATATACCCAGGTGATTTTCTTGTCACTGGGCATTCGATGGCTGCTTTCTTCATACTTTACACTAGTGGCGTAGGCATTTGTTTTTGTGTTTGTTTTGTTTGGTACAAGGTCTCGCTATGATGCACTGGCCTGCCTATGACTTTCTCTGTAGACCAAGCTGGCCTCAAACTCACAGAATCTGACTGCCTCTGCTTCCTGAGTGCTGGGATTAAAGGCTTTTGTTAATACTCTTTAGAAAAAAAATTCTAAGCCAAATTTATCATGCTGTTTCATGGCATAGAGGTTTGGTTTATGAATCTCTTTGTGTGTCTATGCGTGTCCATGGGAGGGGTTGCAAGTGCAACAAGGGCAATCTCAGTTTCTTAGGCACTGTCTACCTTTTTTTTTTTTTCTTTCTGACGGGATCTTTTACTGGCCCGAAACTTGCCAACTAAGCAAGTCTCAGGGATTTTCCTGTCTCTTCTTTCACCATGTGGTCCTAGGGATTGAATTTAGGTTGTCAAACTTGGTGGCAAGCCCCTTTACCCACTGAGCCATTTCTCTACTCCTTTTTGTTGTTTTTGGAGACAGGGTCTTGCCATGCAGTCCTGACTGCCCTGGAATGCCCTGGAATTCACTATGTAGAACAGTGTAGACCAGGTTGGCCTCAAACTTGCTGTGGCTCCTTCTGCCTTTGCCTGTCAGTGCTGGATGGTGGTGGTATACTATCATGTCCAGCTTATTCCAGTCAACAGAGTGATCTCATATAAAGAACTGTCAACTTGGTAACTGAAGAGACAAAAAGCATGCAGTAAAGTATGGCAATAGGAAACTCAGGAAGCAGTACCACCCCTACTACTGAGCCAACAAGGGGACAGATTAGCAGGCTGGAATGTGGCTTGATGGCAGAGCACTTTCCTTGGATTTGAGAGGCCCTGGGTTCCATCGAGAGAGAGAGAGAGAGAGAGAGAGAGAGAGAGAGAGAGAGAGATTAGGATCAATAAAACGTAAAAGTTTGGAGGAATTGCCTCCACAGAGTTGAAACTCATTAGTTCTGAAGTATGAGTGCCCTTGGGCTGCTTGTGATGTTTCTGAAGAGTATACACTGCCTGGTACTACATTTCTATAAGTCATGATGAGGCTGGTACTTATGTGTGTTCTAATTTGCTTTCTGTTGCTGTGATGAAACACTATAACCCAAACCAACTTGGGGAGGAAAGGGTTTATGGCATCGTACACTTCCCATCACTGAGGGAAGTCAGGGCAGGAACTCAAGGGAGGAACTTAGAGGCAGAGACCATGGAGGAATGCTATTTACTGGCTTGCTGGCTCTGACTTGTTCAGTTACCTTTCTGATACAGCCCAGGCCCACCTGCCTAGGGATGGCACCTCCCAGAGTGGACTGGGCCCTCCCCCATCAACGGGCAATTAAGAAAATGCCTCACAGGCTTAGCCACGGGCCTAATCTAATCTGGGAAATTCTTGAGTTGAGGTTTCCTCTTTCTAGGTCACTCTTGTGTGTTTAAATTGACAAAAGCTAATCAGCACAATGTGTATTAGAAAAACTATAAACTGAGCTGGGTGTGGTGGCGCATGCCTTTGATCCAGCACTCAGGTGGCAGAGGCAGGTGGCTCTCTGTGAGTTCAAAGCCAGCCTGGTCTACATAGTGAGTTTCAGGACAGCTGGGGCTACAGGGAGACCCTGTCTCAAAAAGACCAAAAAAAAAAAAACAGAAAAAAGAAAAAAAAAGAAAAACTATAAACTGGATCTAACTGTTGCTGTTAGAAAGAGCTATCACTGTTGGAGTAAAGAAAAAGCTAGAGCTGGGAGAGGAGACAGGTAGATTATAAATTTAAGACTAGCTTATACAGTGAGACTGTGCCTCAAAAGGGGGGGAGAGGGAGGAGGAAGAAGAAGAGGAGGAGGAAGAGGATGAGGAAGAGAAAGAGGAGGAGGAGGAGGAGGAGGAGGAGGAGGAAGAGGAATTCACAGACACCTGCCTCTGCCTCTGGGGTGCTGGGACTAAAGGTGTGTATCACCATGCCCGGCTTCCTACATCACTTAAAAGGATAGGTAATTATTGTGTTTATTGTGTTTATCATCTGTTTTCCCCTCTAGGATGTAGCTTACCATGTCTCAGTGTCCTTGTTTGTATTTAGCATGTTTTCTAGCATATAGTCGGTGTTCAGTAATTTTTTTTTATTTCTATTTTTTTGGCCACCACGCCTAGTTTATATGCTACTGGGGATTAAACCCTGGGCTTCATACAAGCTATGCAAGCATTCTGCCAATTGATTCACATTTCCAGACCTGGTTTTTGTTTTTGCTTTTGTTTTTTTTGGGGGGGGGCAGAGTCTCACTGTATAACCCAGCCTAGCTTGAAATTTACTAGGTAGATATGGCTGGTCTCTAACTTGCAGTGACCCTTCTAGCTTAGCCTCTGAGTGATAGGATTACAGGGATGAGCCAACCCATGTTTGGCTAATAAATACCTGTTAAATAAATGAATGAGCAGAGGATGACCTTTGCATCATGATTCTCTGCCTCACCCTCCAATTGCTGGGATTATAGGCATGACCACCACACTAGGCTCTTGCAGATTCCTTAAGCTAGAGAAGGCTGGTGCTTGATTTTTCCCTTGACAACATTTTCAATAAAATTAGTAAGACAGCTTCAAATTCACCAATACTATCCCCTACTCAAATCCTGTTAAACCTTCATCTCTCTGTACTTAGTCACTTGTGTTTGTAATTCCAGTGCCGGGGAAGTGAGTACAAGAGGATCCGTGGGGCTTGCCAGGGCCCTTTGAGAGGCTCGTCCTCAAAGAACAAGGTAGATGAAATCCAAGTCAGTGAAGCAAGTCAAACTGGCTTCTTCTCAAGACAAAGGCTTCCTAGTGATGCTCTGACCAGGTAAGAATCATGAACTTGGCCAGATGTGGTGGTATACATCTTGAATTCCAGTACTTGGGAGGTAGAGGCAGGTGGATCTATGTGAGATTGAGGCCAGCCTGGTCTACATGGCAAGTTCCAGGCTAGCTGGGGCTACAGGGAGATAACAAGGTCTTGCTGGCACTCCTGGGCTCAAATGATCCTTCTGGCTTAGCCTCCCAAGTAGCTGAGACCACAGTAAGACACCTATAATGGTTAGTTTTGCCAACTTATATGGTGATTTGAATGAGAAATAGCCTCTAGGGCCTCAAATATTTGAACAATTGGTCCCTAGTTGATGGAATTGTTTGGGGACGTTTAGGAAGTGCACTCTGCTGGAGGAAGTATTTTACTGGGGGCTTTGAGAGTTCACAGCGTCAACCCTGTTGAACTTTCTCTGAGTCGTGTTTTGTGGTTGAAGACGTGATCTCTGCTTCCTGCTCCTGTTCCTCACTGCCATGCCTCCCTGCCATGATGGATTCTTACCCCTCTGAAACTGTAAGCCAAAATATACTCTTTCTTCCATAAATTGCTTTTGGTCATGGTGTTTGATCACAGCAACAAAAAGTAGTTAATACAACTTGACACTTGACACAATCTAGACTTACTTGGGAAGAGAGCCTCAAAGAGGGATTGTTTAGATTAGTTTGACCTGTGGTCGTGTCTGTGGGCGCTGGTTCTGATTATGTAATTGATGTGGGAAAACCCAGTCCCCTCTGGGAAGCACTGTCAGTTGGGTCCTGGAATGTATAAGAAGAGGAAGTCAAGCTGAGTTGTGGGCATACATGCACGAATTCTCTCTCTGCTGAGGTGACTAGTTGCTTAAGTTCTTGCCTTGACTTCCCTGAAGTGATGGACTGTACCCTGAATTGTAAGGCAAATAAACCCATTCTCTCTAAAGTTGCTTTTGTATTTTATCATAGCAACTGAAATGAAACTAAGACAGCATCATGCTAAGCCTGAGTATGTTTTATGAATCTCGAGTTATGATTTATAATTTTTATGTAGGTGCAATGAGGGCAAGAAGGTTACCTGGCCTGGAAGAGGTGAGCCTGGAAGCCCATGTCTCCTGACATATGGGCATAAGCTAGAAAGTGAATCTTCAAGCTGTGTTTTTCACAGAGAGCCAGCAATTCCAGAAGACTGTACTAGCACCCTAAAGCTCTTTAACCAGCAGAACATACATGGTGAAGAAAAAAAAAGCAGTCAGTCATTCCAAAGTTTTATCCGGCCCCTCTGGTCAGGAGGTCAGTCTTGTCTGAGTTTTATGGTGTTGGAGTATTTCTCCTTACTAACCTCTTTCTGTAACAGGGGGAGGGTTTGCAAACACCAAGGCCCTTGAGTCTTGCATTCCTCCTGAGCTCCTCATTTGGAGGACATTTAAATCAAAGGTTAACTCAGAACAAACAAACCATTATCAGTGTGTGTGTGTGTTCTTTCTTACAGAAATGAAGTACACATGTGCTCTTATAATATAGACCAATATAGACTCTGAAGTGCTCTGTCAAAACGTGTTCCCAGGGTGGCTGAGATGGCTCAGTGGGTAAAGACACTTGTAACCAAGTCTGATGACCTGAGTTCAATCCCCAGAACCCACAGTTTAGAAGAAGAGAACAAACTTCTGAAAGCTGTCCTCTAACCTCTACACGGGTACTATGGTATGTGTGTACAGCAATAAATAATTTAAAAAAATGTTTACAATGGGGCTGGAGAGATGGCTCAGTGGTCAGTGGTCAAGAGCACTGGCTGCTCTTGCAGAGGACCCAGGTTCAGTTCCCAGAGCCCACATAGTGCATAACAAATGTCCATAACTCCAGTTCCAGGGGGTCTGATGCCCTCTTCTGACCTCTGTAGGCCTTGCATGACCAAGATGCACTTACGTACATGCAGGCAATGTACTCATACACATGAAAAAAAAAGCTTCCAACATAAGAGCAGTTGTCCCCTCCCTGAGAGTCTATTATCTGTGCCCCGTGCCATGCTCCTCTCCCACAGCTCTGCCTTCGGCTTGCTTTCTCCTCCCTTTGCCAACATATCAACCTGTTCTAAACCAAATATACATGGCCAGTCAGGAGGGAAATCACTTGATATCCAAGACAAATGACTGGTAAATAAAGTAACATACTGGACTGAGCCCCACCTGGATCTGAGCGCAAATCCTAAGCTTGCCTCTTTAGACCATCTCCTTCCCATTTTCCATTTCCATGACCCTGTGAATTAATGCCACAATGGAATGGGATAGGAATGGAAGATCATCCTTACCTCAGAGGAACGCAGAGTTGGGGTCTACAGCAGAGCCTGCTTTGTGCCTCTCACATTTCCTATAATCCCTTCAGTCATGAGAACCAGAAGCTCTGATGTCAGCCTTGATGATGCCTCTCACACTATATTAGTTACTTTTCTGTTGCTGGAATAAAGCACCACGACCAAGGCAATTTATAGAAGAGTTTTTGGCTTACAGTTCCATGATAGAAAAGAGCCCATCATAGTGGGGAGGTATGACAGCAAGCAGCAGGAGAGGAAACTGAGAGATCACATCTTCAACATCAGACATGAAGCAGACAGCGTGAACTGGAAGTGGGGGAAGACTATGAACTCTCAAAGCTCACCTCCAGGGATGTACTTCCTCCAGCAATCTCCATGACCTCCCCAAACAGTGCCACTAACCTGGGATTAAGTATTCAAATACTTGAGCCCGTGGGGGATATTTTTCATTCAGACCACTACATTCACCTTCTCTGCCCTGTAAAACCCATCACCAAATCTCATCAGTGCTACTTGTAAGGTCTTCCAGTGAGGTGATTGTTAGAGTGCCCCCCTCTCTCATTTGCCTCTTTCCCTGACCCCAGCCAAGCTCTCCTTTCTTTTCCCTGGGCACTCTAACAATCACCTCACTGGCTTACCCCACAGGCCCCTTTCAGATCTATTCTTCAGCGTTAGCAAAGTGTCACTTTACCCCTCTCTCATGAGCAAAAGTCTTTCAATGCTTCCTTTTGTTTGAGGCTAGAGGGAAGATTCCAGCCTGCTCTGGTCCCTTACCCAAGGACATCTAGAGATGTAGCATTGCAAAGATTCTCAGACTGTTCTAGGCACAGACGACTGAGATGGTGCCACAGTCAGGATGTCATCAGGCAGATGACTGAGCAAAACACATCTTTCTACAAAAAATGTCTGACCCTTATTTTTTTCCAGAGTCAGGAAGAGTGGGCCACATGGAGGCCCTCTCCTAGGTTAGAGAAGTCAGTCTTGCATTTTCTATTTTTAATTTTTTTCTTTTAGTTTATATGTGTGTCTGCATGCATGTATGCGGACTTGCTTGGAGGTGTCTTTGTTTCTGATCTTCCTTGCTTACATATCCCAAACTTGTTCATTCAAGTAAGAGAGTTTCAGCAAGATAGTATATTTAGGGGCGGGAGCGATGGCTCAGTGGTTAAGTGTGCTTGCTATTCTTTCAGAGGAACTGAGTTCAGGTCCCAGAACTCATACTGGGCAGCTCACAACTGCTTGTAACTCCAGATCCAGGGGATTCCACACATTCATCTGGCCTCTGTGGGTTCATGCATACATGTGACATACCCTCACATAAACACACACATACATATAAATAAAAATAAATTTTAACAAATAGTACACTTAATTCTTCACCAACTAGTGTCCCCCTATTTAGTCCCCCAAAGCATTGCAGATGCCTCTAGATACCTATTCTCTTTTTTAAAATTTATTTTTTATTTTATATATATGAGTGTATTGCCTATAGCTGAGTGTGGTGGCACACGCCTTTAATCCCAGCACTCAGGAGGCAGAGGCAGGCGGTTCTCTGTGAGATTGAGGCCAGTCTGGTCTACATAGTGAGTTACCAAACCTGGGTCCTCTGCAAGAGTAGCCAGTGCTCTTAACTGCTGAGCCATCTCTCCAACCCCAGATACTAATTTATCTTGATTCCTTTGGGGCATAAAACACAAACCAACTTCAGCTAATCAAACAAAAGAATAATTTATTGACCAGCCTGATCAGGTAGCATATAGCCAGCAGAAGCTGGAGATCCACTCTTGAAATGGGACAGGAAGCAACAGAAACTGGTCAATTATTTTATCTGAGAGTTACAGAGGGACTGGGTGTGATCTAAGCATTCATTTCCAATGATGCATCACTCTAAGATTCAGTCTTGGGTCTGGGGGCTCAAATAGCAGAACACTTTGCCCTAGCATATGTGAGGTTCTAGGTTTGATCCCCAGCACAGTAGAGGAAAAGATAATATTCAGTTTCTTGGGACAGGGCGGGGGGGTGGTGGCTCAAGCATGTGTACCTGAGATTGGATCTGCAGCACCCATGTAAAACACTGAGTGTGGAGACATGTGCTTATAATCCCAGCCCAGAGTAAGTGAATACCGGAGAAGAATCCCTGGAGCTTGGTGACTGGCCAGGCTAGCTGAATCTGTGTGCTTGAGGTTCAGCGAGAGATCCTGTCTCAGAACATACAGTGGAAAGCTGTTGAGGAAGACACCTGACATCTATCATCTATCTATCTATCTATCTATCTATCTATCTATCTATCTATCTATCATCTATCTATCATCTGTCTATCTATATCAATCATCTATCTATCTTTCTATCATCTATCTATCTATCTATCTATCATCTATCTATCACCTATCTATATGCACAGACACATGCATGTGTACACCTGCACACATGTGTACATATATAAACATGTGCACACAATCTCAGGAGATACTGTGATATCCCTGCCCAGACCACCTGCCCACCTCTTGGCTATGGTGAAAAGTCTCGTGATTATACCACCAAGAGTATAAGAGAGAGGGTTAACTCCCCAAATAAAAATTGGGGTGCTGTTTCCAAGGAAGGGGAAATGGATACTGAGCAATTAAAATAAAAACCTCAAATGCCTGTGTGGCCTCCTGCCCGGCACGTCAGAGACAGCATAGAGCAACTCTGCCACACTCCTTGTCCAGCCTGTTCCATGATTACAGGACTTTGACCCCAGCTGCTGTTATGTTATCACTGACCATGGAAGCTCATCAGTGCCTGGGTCCATGACAGTTTGCCCAGAAAAGCTTCAAGGGTGCCCTCTAGGGACTGAAGGTAGGCATAACCTCTTAGAGGAGAGGAATTCAAAATAGATTACTGACCAGAAGAATCTCACCAGCCTGAGCCCCAGGGTATGGCACTCAAGTAGGTGTCTGGCTCTCTCCCACTTATAAACAACATCATTTATTCTGAAACATGTAGAGAGTACCTGAGGGTGTCAGTATTTTGTTTTAATTTGTTTCTGTGGGGTTAGGGATTGAACCCTGGGCTTCACACATGCTGAACACTAACCACTGAGCTACATCTTTGACTCCATTAGACTTTGGAGGTCATCAGCCTTCTGACCTTAGACGTCTCTCTCCATTTCTTGGTTCTGCTCTAGTCATCCTACAATGCTTTTACTTTCCCTTTCTCCACCAATGTCTCACACTGGGACCCAGAA